CCTGTAATTATAATTGCATCAATATACATTCTATGAATTATACGTACATATATACACTATACAGCTGATAATATAAGGAAAAAATGCATGGACAGTCTGGGGCATGATAAGTATAAGTTGGGCGATCAACTCCTTTGTGGCAAGCCATGTCGAGTTCTGAATCAGCTTTGGCTTTGACACCTCAGACCTCGTTTGCAAGCGAGGCATCTGAGCTCACTGAGCTGCCCTCTGAAGATAAGGGCCAGCGCGTCCTTTATGCTTTGCAGGGAGGTTTTGCTGATGTGGATTGGCCCGAACNNTCGTGAGCAACCAATGGAAAAAAATCCTCGTGAAAGCTTGCGTGGCCAACACTGGCCTTAGCGGCAGCTATGAGAAAGAGGCAGGATGATCAGCGCATATTTGAGACAGTCATCATTTCAGACAGAGTTGCTGACAATAAAACATTTTGCTGGCAGATCGTCCTGAATGCGCGTGTCCTGATCTACATGCATACAGAGTTCGATCAGCTGCCTACTTGTGGTGAGATCAAGGCTGGCCCCATGGTGCTGCACATTATAACTAATTAGGGTGATTCAGAATGGCATACAACTTTAGTTTACAAGGTTCATAATAATATCATCGAAGCATCATGTTGATACGTGTATATATATATATGTAGAATAGCTCTGTATAGATCATACAAATATATATATATATCCCTTGGTATATTTAAACTTTGATATATAATAAAATTAAAGGAATAGAAGCTGTATATATACGTACATGCATATATATATATATAACAGGTTTATATACATTCTATCTGATATTATACCCCGTGTGCGCAGGCTGCGTTTGCCAAGTTGAATGACGAGCGTGGGCTCATTCAAAACAAGCCCAAGAAGACAGTCCAGGTGGGTGATTGGCAAACATGTGCGCTGCGTACCGTACATTGCACTGCGAAAGGGGGGTTATCATAAATAGATATACACATGTACTAGATATAGGCATAGTAATTATTTGCAGATATGTGCAAGTATAATAACAAATATGTGTATCTTTCGAAAATATCTG